CTCTAGTTTCCTAATACACAATTCTGGTCTTATTGTGAACGGTATATGATCCCAACATTATTCAAGAATAAATGTGTATGTTACCTCAACTGATATCACTTAGGCCCTTGTTCCTTTGGATAATAGCCAATAACAAAATAGCTGCTTAGACAATTACTTTAGCAAACTCCCATTTGGCTCCATTATCATATACAGTAGAATGCCTACTTTTCATGATCCAATTAATTCCAAATGGATAAAAGTCCAACCTAGATTTTTTCCTCATTCATTATCCTGTATTGCTCAAAAATATGGAAGCAAAATAGGCTTTCATTCTCTTTGCTTTTCATTCACATCATATATTCTGGTTAGGTTAGTCTTATTTTGTTGCAAATAAGAGCTAATTAGCTGTTAAGCTAACAGACGGAACACTGATGACATTAAAACTGAATCCATTCTGCCAGCTGAAATCCCAATAGACCACAACAGATTAAAGCAAATAAGGGCAGAGTTAACAAGCAACAGCATAACATTGTTAATGAATCATGAAACTCTGGATCTTCTCCCTATGATGTATAAAGACAGCTGTTAGTGTGGCTCAATCCAGGGTGCAACATCCTCCACCAAACATGGCTGAGAACAGCTGTCCTTTGAGATAACTCTACACGCAAAGCTGTAATTTGCGACTGCAGATGCTTGCAGAGTTCTTCTCCTTGAGGGCTCCCTAATACCAATTAACTGATTGGATTGTTCTTCATCATAATGGCTGTCTCTCTAGAGCACCGTGCTCTTCATCTCCTACACCTAATGAGGTGCACTCCACACTAGTGTCAATCACTGCTCAGGGATGCCACAGAAAGGCAGATGACACAGAGATGGTGATGATAGAGATAAGAGGAGAAAAGAGTGAAAAGATAAGGGGAGAAACACTAGCTGTTTATCACAGTAACGCATTTAGTAATAGCAAGTCAAAAAGCGTCAATTAAATGTTATAAATAACATTATTTTTTTTCACTCACGAGTCTCTGAAACAAGAAAGGACCTTTTATGTCCAGTTTGTGCTTTGGTATTGATGTTCCCATAGCGTCAATGCCAGGACACAGCATCGAAGTTCTATTTCGAAAGGGAATGTCTCAGGTTATGTATGTAACCCAGTTCCCTGAGAAAGGAACAAGACACTGTGTCTCATTGCCACACCAAGGCTATGCCTGTGCGCCTCCTTCTGGCAGTTAGAATTTGATGGGGTGCATTTCAGGCGTCTGTTTTTAGCCTTGGCCACACACTACATTGCGTCACCATGTCATTACCTTCTGCCGATCACATTGGCGAGTATATACATGTGCTTCAGACACCGGCTCACACAAAAGCATTCCGATAGCTTCAACACCATTGCACAGCTTCTTGTTCCCTTCTCACATACGTAACCTGAGCTGTTTTTACAATTATTAGTATAGTTTTTACAACTACATCGTCTCTAACCATCTTTAAATCTTGCTCTTGAGCAAGTATCTACCAACTTTTGCTCCAAACTGTTAAGTGTGCTCACAGTTAGTTGGAGTATTTTGCTGTGGGCTACAGCACAAACACTGTCATGCGGAATTACACTAACAGTGTTTCATACTGCAACAGCCAACAGGTGCAGAGAAGCTTTTATCACAGCAGAGGAAAAATGTGCATAAATAGGGAAACTGAAAATGTGGCTGCCATTACGTAATGTGAGAGAGTTCTCGACAAAATCCATTTGCAGCCCTACACAACTTTCCACTTTAGCCATTCACACAATGACATGCACGGAAAAACAGCTGCCATTACTGCCAAGAAACATTGCTTTGGAGATGTCTCCTGAAAAATAACACAAAAAAATGGTGCACTTAATGTACTGTATGTGCATTTGCATGTGCACATCATTCTATTTACTGTATATGCTTAAAGGAATAGTTCAGCTAAAAATTATAATTATGCTATTGTTTATTCTTACATGTTGTTGTTTTTGTCCATGAAACGCAAAATGTGATATTTTTAAAGAATCTTCAAACAGCTATGACTGAAAACCATGACTGAAAAGCTCCAGAAGCAACATAAAACAATCATAAAAGTAGCTCATATACTACGTTTCGTAATGCCAAACAATAGTGTTTTTTCACAGTTATTAAATTGAACCTTTTCTTGACATAGAAATGACAAAACCACATAAAAACCAACATGAATACAAAAAGTACAATCATAAGAAATTCACGCATATGCTTTACACTAGATTCTCCTACCTGGTCTCATGACGAAATTGTACCTCTGGAAACTTTTCTGCAAGACGCGAAATACGTACCTAGTAAACCTAGTAAATACGTAATAAGTACATATCACTGCAGTTTCTGACAGAAATTAAAACTAGAGGTGGTAAAACAGCAAACACTTGTAATCATTTTCATGCACAGTTATGATTACAGCTCCATACGTTTCGCTTTCCGGACGTAACAAGCTTGCATGGTAGCTCAGCCGGGTACGAATCCCATCAAAAACATGACTCACGATGAAAGAGCTGAAAGATGAGAGATCGAAAAACGAGCTAATACAGCATGCTTGCGATTGTGTTTTTACGCCATATTCACTTTTGTTCATACTATCGGCTAGGTTTAAGTGTAGTGCAGATGGTACATTATTTTAAAACGTCACAGAGCATTAGACTTAAAGCGTCACTCAACAGACATTTCAGAACTGCGGTGACACCTAAAAGCAATTTCACATAAAACTAGGGGTTGAACGACTTCTGATTTTTTAAAGTCGACTTTTATGTGATGAAGTCGAGTCGAAGTCGACTAGTCGCTGATGACGTCATTAATGAACAAATAAGTCTGGAGCTGTGACAAACACCTTGTGCACAGCTATGGCATATGACACAGTGCTGCCCACATGGCTATTGCTCCTATAACAGCTCATTTTTATCAGTTCTTTTGTCTTTGAGTCGTTAAGTTTCTCACAGTTTTCTGCTCGTTCTAAATCAGATACAGATCAAGTACTACAGTAAAGATTACAGTCATATGAGTGCATTAGTGAGAGCGATTGCGTGTCTGAATTAATTCTACCTGGCAGCATCTCTCTACTAGTTGTGAAGCTGTGGGACTTAGTTATTAAGAAATATATGCTTGAACTTCTCAGTTTCAAAGCTATTTTTTGAGAAATCACAGAACAGTGTTGACAATACATTTCCGCGCTGAATGGTTCTGTGTGTGTGCAATCTGAGCGTGATGTACGAGCTACTGTCTGTAATGTGTGTGTGTGTTACAGTGCAGCAGCACATTGGATTAGAACGGCGATTAACTTACCTGTACAATAAGCGGTTTAAAACGTCCATTCTCCCGTTCAATTTCAAGCATCCAGTAATATAATCTCACATGTCTTGTGGAGCACTTTCAGTGTATGCATTTATTTGTCATTTTAACTGTTTGGAAACGGACCGTAAATGTGGAAGTCCTTCAAAAATTTCTTATCCTGGTGCGCCCTCTATAGGACCAGCGACTAGTCAACGTCAAGCTTAAAGCGTCATGGCAGAGCATTGAAGTCGACTAGTCCGTAGTCGTATGTATGTTCATCTGTTCCGGGGGGAAAAATAAACACTCTTTTAGCGCCACCCAGTGGATATTTCACATAGAATATGTCACAAAACGTACATTGCAGTACGTATTCCGCGTCTTGCGAAAAAGTTCCCAGATGTAAGTTTTTCGTCATAACACCAGGTTGAGATTTCACTTCCTATTAAAAGGTTTTTCTTTTTTTGTTGACACTCTTATAGGCAAGGCAAGGCAAGGCAAGTTTATTTATATAGCACATTTCATATACAATGGTAATTCAAAGTGCTTTACATAAAAGAAATGAAATAATAATAATAAAAATAATCACAACAATAAAACAAGGAATTTAAAACTTTGAAAATTATAAAAAAAATTGATTTAAGAGGTTTAAAATTAATTTAAAACAGTTAAGAATAGAACATGATTATACATAAAATATAGTGCAGTCAGATCGGACATTGCACAGTGCTCATTCAGTAAATGCACAGCTAAACAGATGAGTTTTGGGTCTGCATTTAAATGTGACTAATGTTTTAGCACATCAATTAAACCCATCATTGAAATTATATCATATACTGATTATCCAATCCAATCCTGAATCCAAAAAAGCGCATTGTGTTTGATTGCTACACATGGGTGAACCAACATTGTACCAGTTCACAGTATTGAAATGACATGGTGTGAGCAAACGATGACACAGTTTGCACTGTTGGATGAACAATCCCTTTAAACCATTATTATCCATTAGCTACTGGGTTATTCACTCTATGATTTAAAATTTCTAATTGGATTATATCAATAAATGATGAGCTGGACATTCCAGTAATGTTACAGGAAGTGTGAGAGAAACATGCAGACTATACCCTCCAGGAGTGGACAAATTCAGCTCGAGCTCACTGACCTTTCACCAAAACATCTCAGACTAAAGAAGGAGTAGCCATTAAAACAGATGTCTGGTGGTGTGGTGTCCGAGCAGAGGTGACCGCAGCCTCCCTCTTGCCACCATAATGAAAAGCATCGCTCAACGTGGGTGTGCAATCTGCCATGCATAGATGCACCCTGTCTACCCCTCGCATTTAATCGCACACACACATAGCAAACACCTGTGCTAAGATTAGCAACCCAGCCTCATCTATCATCTGCCATGAATGTACTTTATTACTCATGGTGTCCAACTTGTTCATATGTGGTCAGTCATCTGTACTGCCAGTATAATTACCCACGAGCACTCAAAACGGACTTCAAGAACCTGTCGAGACCTGCTGTGGAGAATGCAGCCTGGGTTCGGGGTGGTTTGGGATCACAGCCAAATACAGCTGTGTTCTCACCACTGGTAATGCGAGAATTTAAATGCACCAAGTCACTTTGCTTTCCACAGGCATGTGTTGTCTGTTGGCGTTTCCACATCAGAAGCTGATTGTAAAGAAAGAGAAGTGTTTGCAAATGAGCACTTACCCGCCTTTGATGAAGTCCAAGAAGGTGACTTCAGTATCAACGAGAAACGAAAGCAGTGTCACCTGGAAACATGAAGCCAGAAAATCCCATGAGGATTCTGTGTGCTGTCATGTCACTATATCAACGATTCACCGAATCTTCTAACTGATTCTAATTGAAGTAAGGAAATACTGCCCCAGGCATACATGACAGAAAAATAAATATGTTGGGGAAGCTTCTTTGAAAATGCAGCTTGTCAAGCTACAAGCTAACCAAAATTCAAAGTATAGTGCTTATACTAAATGTATTCTACCACTGGAACGGTAAGTAATTGGATTATATTATGCTATAAATGTAGTTCTAATATTTATAAATGACAAGTCAACAATAGCACAAGTCAACAAATCAATAACTAGCTATTGTTATCAGCTCAATGCACATTCTTTCATGAGATCAAACAGATTTTCATTTTATCTTATGTTGCATTTTATTTTCAGCATTGCAAGCATCCTAGTAGACTGTGCACAAAATTATGACCTGGACTAAGATGTAATGATGATAATACAAATTTGTCAATATAGATGACAAAAAAAGGCCTTTTACACAGCAACTACAATTGCATTTTTGAAGCTTCGGGCTGGGGGG